ACGCCCCCGGCTGGCAGAGGGCAATGAGCAGGTTCTGATCGCCGACTTTTCGCTGTCTGCCTCAGTCCCCGAACAGCATGCGCGGCCCTTGGTAACTCGGTCGACGACCGCGCCAATATAATTTTCGATGGCGTTGATACCATGAGTGGCAGGTGGCTAGATTTTCCGGAGACTTGCCACTGTCTTCAACCCTTGTCCTCTCTCATCCGGTTTTGGAACCGGCAGCTGCGCCGGGATTTCATTTTGGGTTTTCAATTGAAACGGTTTCTTTTGTTATGTGGTCAAGTCTATATTTATACATATCTCTGTTGCCGTGACCTTTGCGGTACCGCTGAAGTGATTCATTGTTTATTCACCATTGAGACCTTCGCTATACACGATTTTTGAGAGTGGCTGAGAGGAAATTAATAACGCCTCGGTTCTGCATTATTATGCACGTTACCCTCCCCCTCGTGTGGTTGGTCCTAGTTGTCCGATGAGTATTTATACGGGCCTTCAATAGATATTTTAACACCTGCAGTGCTAGATGTATCGTTTTGCTGGTTAGAGCAATGGTTTACTCAACGTAAGTGAATATATTTCCATTATGAGTATCATTATCATGTTTGCGCAGCTGTTTTACCGACATGTATAATTGGCTGATTTCTTAAGCATGTTTTTTCATATTTTCCATTTAGCAGTAAGTGGCTTCCTTCTGCTTCCATAAAACATGTTCAAATCGTTTTCCTCATGTGATATTCATGAATCGTTCATCATTAGACTGATTGTCGAGCTTATGCTAATTATAATATTGCTGTACCCTGAAAATATAACATCTTTCATTCCCTAAAAGAAAGTGAAACGGTATTGTTTTACAGTGTGATTAATATATTCCTTCTTCGTTCTTCCAAGAACGTTTATATATCATTTTCGCAGATCGTCTGTGACGTCTCTTCATCTACTTAACTCCAGTTGTGATGTTCGTAATCGTGTTATTGTAACTGAACTGCTGACAGAACTAATGGTTGAGAAGTTGATGATGAATGCAGAGGATAGGTCGAGTGATGCTGGGAGGGCTCATTCTCTACTTATTTTGCACTTGTGCAGATAAAAAACTTTTCTGCTTGTAAAGTGCTGAAAATCTACCGTAACAGCATATCTTTGATTGGGAAGTTTCAAATATGAGGTGAAATAAGAGTAAGAGGAAAAAAATTGAAGAAGTGATAGATGAACCAAAAGAGTAAGTACTGAAGTATTTTTTAATTCGCTGGTTGTACGATGAAGCATATTTAAAGACTTCATTAAATAACTTTGTGTTCGGTGATGGGTGATGGTCCTGACTAAATGTGGTGCTAATGGCGCATTGCTTTTGCTCTTAACGTCGTCAGTCGCAATCGTTGTACAAATGTTTTTTTCGATTAGCATTGGCTTCTCGAGTAAGTCATATCTTTACCGGTAGTAGTACCGGTATGGTTGTCGTAGTCTTTTCGCTTGAGTTTGTGACGACCTTACATTTTCTGATTTTCTCTGTCCCTCTCACAATTGAATTTGAAGCCTCGTCTAAGTATGACACTTTTCCTGTAGATTTTGTTACATATTGTTCATTTCACTCCCTGAAGGCTAATAGACTGTGCTCGCAACGTTGAGGATTTATCGAGTGATCAACTTGCTGTAGTCTCATCTTGTAACGGTTTGTTGAATTGCATTAGCAGATGACTGCTGTTAACGTCTGTGTTAAAATGTAACTTTATACTGAATTGCTTTTTTATAATTTATGTTATGCTCAAGTTTTTTGCAGTATGAAGATTCGGACGAAGTGGTACTGTGGATGAACACGGTTGGACCGTACCATAACCGTCAGGAAACGTACCCTTATTTTTCTTTGCCATTTTGTGCTGGACCAAAAAAGGCCATTTCACACTACCATGAAACTCTCGGCGAAGGGCTGTTGGGTGTGGAGCTTGAGTATTCCGGTCTTCGGATGCAGTTCAAAGGTGTGACTTGTTATAATTTCTAAGACCCTTTATGAGAGCTTGCATTCTGTTGTTTAGAAGATATTGAGAAGACGGTATTTTGCAGCATGGTTTTGTACGAGGAACATGTAGAGGCGTTGAAACACGCGATCAAGAACTACTACTGGTATCAAATGTACATCGACGATCTGCCGATCTGGGGTAAGGGTAGAAAATGGACACTATTTTCGCTGATCAATGAACTCTTCGCACATTTCGTTTTTCAGGACTGGTTGGAGAATACGTTAAAACGAACGAGGGTGAGGTCTTCAAATTGTTCACCCATAAAAAGTTCGAAATCGGCTTCAATGGCAAACACATCATTGACGTCAACCTGACCACCGATGACAAAAAAGAAATCGTTGTTGGCCAAACCATCGAATATACATACGAGGTAGCGTCTGTTATTGTAAAGACAAATCTCACCGCGTAGTCATTACGTTCAAGTTAGAAATTACGTGATGGATTTTAATGATGACATGGAGTATGGTAGAGTGGATATTTTTAAGTCACAGTGACTAATTAGAACTTGAAAACGGTTGAGTAACGAAACTGCAGCGATTAATGGATGATTGATTACTATATATTGACCATAGATAGAATCAGCCAGGGCCTTTTGGCACTGACAGCTAGATGTTCAGTTAGTAAAAGTATCGTGTCCTCTCAGGGTTGAATAATTCTAAGATGTGGCTTAGTAACAACCGTAGACTTGAAGGTACTTATTTCATTATCTGAAAACGATTGATGGGTAACGACTACCAAATTGGACCGATTTTGCTTTTTCTGTGAATTTTCAAGCAAACATGGTCATATCCTACAGCTTTGATTACCAGTTCTCATTGATTAGAAGCTCAATATCTATTTGTCATGCATTCCTGTATGTAATATTTTGTTGTTTCTGTCTTTCTGATTGACTTGAACAACAACACCGTTCATACGCAAAAACCGTTAATCTGTAGTGTCTGGGTTTCTGAAGTATATTCATATATGGAGTATCTGGTTAATTTTAGTTTTTAATATGCAATTTCGGTATAATTCGAAGTATTTATTTGATAAGCGAATTTCGTAAAGTAGTGCCATGCTTTTTTGAAATTGCATTGATAGTAATCAGTGTAATTGTTTTTGAATAATTCGTATAAATAACACAACTTTTGAAAAAAATCGGGTTTCAGTTATGCGTCTTTCTGCTACTGTTCCATTTAGTTTTCTTTGCGGCAATAGCTGGTAGCGCCATTAGGAGGCAGAGCTAAGTTTTATTCTATACTGTGGATGTTCACCTAGCTCCGGGTTCAGTTGTCTCTCGTATGCATAGGGAGTACCACGAACAACATGGTGATCAGTAGACGAATCTACATCTTCGTTATCGCGAATATTTATTGCAAAGCGTCGTAAGCCAGACGACGATGCGATTATCAACTCGTTCATCGAACACCGATACCAGCTATGTGTATGCTCCTTGCTTGAAGATGGTTATATTTACAATATTTTGACTTTACGATAGTGCGATGGCTATGCGCCAACAGTCTTTGTAGCGATCACGAGTGCAAAAAATTCATATGGCATTTAGGAACGTATCATACGGTGACGATATGATTATAATTATGAGAGATGTACAAAATTTGAAAAACAGATTCAACATGCTCTTGCTTCCTACAAAAAAATTCGCAATAAAATGAAGAAGCAAATTGTCCAGTCTTAAATACTTTCCTAAAGAAGCAAGTGCCTGTTTCTGAATCATCATCAAGTTTCGAAGACTCAGTGCCTTCTGCGAGCTATGCTCGCGAGCGCGAATCATCAGACGAAAATAAAGTTGATCACGCTGTTGCTATAGCCTTCTTCCCAGCATCATCTTCCAGCAGGCAATATTAACTTTAAATGCTGGTATTTCGTTAGTTACAGTAATTATTCTTTTATTTTTTTATTAAATGACATCTATTTATTATATATTCGTATATCATATATTCGTACTAGATATTTTCAACTTGCAGTGAGTTCGTCAGAACGTAACCCATCAGATTTCGATGGAAG